ATTGCTTTACTGCATGTTCTGACGGCAGCACTGCCGGGCGGCCGGATGCGTGCGCGAATCAAATCATGGTCCGACAATACGGGAGCGGAGAGCGCCAGCAATCGCCTTTACACAAACAAGTATCCCCTCAACATGTTTGTTCAGAGGCTTTCCCTTTTCAGCTGTTATTCGGGCGTGTCCTTGGACGTATCTCATATACCTGGTGAACTCAACGAGGATGCAGATATGCTTTCCCGGTGGTCAGGCAAGCCATCCGAGTTACCAGACCGCTTCCCGCCTAGTCGGCGAATTCCCCTGGACCTCGAACAGCTGTGGTTTCGACGCCAGGCAGTGACGCTTTGGCCATCGGAGGTTCATCTCCCATGGCGCATACCGATGAATGACTTTTTCATGTAGCTCATTTCGGTAGCGTTGCTTTGCTTGAATTGCCAAACCTCACAGTTTCATTTGGGGGAAACGCAATGAACGGCAGTCTTACCGCAAGCCCTCGCAGCCCTGGCCAAAGCCCTCCCAGCCGCAGGAAAACACACGCGCCATCGCCCAGCTGGAGCAGTGTGCGCAACTTCCTGCCATGCTATGAAGGCTGCGCGAGTGGGAGGGGTCGCCAAAGCGTGGTACCTGGATGACCAATCCCAAGCGTGCTGCGCATTGCCTTGTGCGTCATCGCCCTGCCCTTTCCACTCCGCCTGCGGCCGTATCATCAACGACAGGACTCCCCTGTTCGAGGATACGCACACTTCGCACTACTGCAGCCGGTGCTATGAAGCAATGCGACCCAATGTAGCCATGTACTGATGCCTTGCACTGTGCCATTGACCGCACTATTCAGCTTCATGAGGGCCACGCAGTGCACTCTTTTCGTTTTCTTGTAACTTAGGAAATGTTTTCGGTAAAGCCTTGTGCCTTTTTTGCACCCATCGCATTACATGTGCATTCGACACGCCTTGATCAAAGCATTGCTGGGAAGCAAACGAGTACTGCGCAAGACACTCGAGCAGCGCATAGGCCTGCTCATTTGGGCCACCAGCATTGCCTTGCATCTCAGATCTTGGCTAGCGCCTCTCTACTCTGATCTCAACAGCCCTCCGGGCTCGATGCACTCGGTACCACCACAACTGTGGTCAGCCTTCAGAGCCTCCTTGAACAAGGGCCTCAAGACCAGCCATAGCCTTCCCAGCCTTTGGATCGCAGCGGGCTCCAAAATGCTTGAAATTTCGGGCCGCGGCATTGCCCTCAGGACGTCCTGCGTGTGCCAGGCACCAGCAAACCCACGTGGGTACGTGTCTCAGATCCAAATAACCCCTATACTAGCCTTTCCAAGTCGAGCCAGCAATGCCTTACGTGGCTAGCTTCGTGCTTCCAGCACTTGCCAGCCCTTGGCACGGCCGCACCAGCTGCAGGCACTGGCAGCCGCAGATGCCTGTGCCGAAGGCGACTTGGTAGGTGTAGGTGGCTGGGCAATCACAAGTGGTTTGGTTTGCCGAAACCTGGAACATGCAGGACATACGGGCAGTATGGCCTTGCCTTGTCAAGCCTGGACAGCGCTACATCGCATGTTTCGAAACGCTGGCACAGTTGGCACTGCTGCAGGCCACCCATAGCCACATTGGTGGTGGGCACTACTCATTCAGCATGCCTTCAGGCACTGATAACTCGGCAACAGAAGCAAGCCTTAACAACTTCTTGGCCGCTGCAACTCTTCGTGCAGCTCACAGCCTTCTGGGCGCATGCACACAATGTGTTGCTGCAGCCCACACATGTTCCAGGCAGGAACAATGATTGGGCAGACGACCTAAGCAGAGGTCACCTAGCCCGATTCAGCCATCGCCCAGAGAGTCGTGTACGCTTCAGCCCCGCAGGCCTTGCGCTGTCAGGCAGAGGCGTCCAGCTGTGTCCGATTGATGCGCCCTGGCGCCCGGAACACCTAGCACCAGCTGCGTGTAGACAAGCCTTGCTACCTTCCAACAGGCGTCGCGACCCGACATCGCCCTGGCAACCAGAATATCTCGCTGCATCTGTCAGCAGCTTCACAGCAAGCCGCTTTGGCGAAAAGGAGCAGTCCCAGAACGGCAAATGCTCATAAGCGTGTCAATGCAATGAAACACTGAAGGGGGGGTCAACGCACCTCCTGCTCCAGGCGCATCTGTGCCCTGGAAGCAGTGCTACTTTCAGCAATCCCGGTTAAAAGAACTGCGGCCGCTTCGGACTTGCTTTGTTCTTTTGGGTGGTCTGGTTTGGGTTCAAGATAGGAGCAGTGCAACAGAGCATTTCCATCCATGGTCTCCGGACCTCCGGGTCTCCGGACCGCCCACGGTCTCAGGACCACCAGGTCTCCGGACCGGCGTGGGCACGCTTGCCACGCCTTGCGCGCACTGCACGCACCTGCAAGGACACGCATTGTCTTGCCTTTAAGTTTCACGGGGGGTCAACGCACCTCCTGCTCCAGGCGCATCCGTGCCCTGGAAGCAGTGCTACTTTCAGCAATCCCGGTTAAAAGAACTGCGGCCGCTTCGGACTTGCTTTGTTCTTTTGGGTGGTCTGGTTTGGGTTCAAGATAGGAGCAGTGCAACATGCCTTAACCCCTAGTTTCTTAGCCCTGCAAAGCTTGGCTTGCTGAAGCGCAACTTGGAGGCAAATTGCAAGCATATCTAATGGTCGTTATGTTGCAGCCACAAGCCTGCACGCAGTACTTTAGATTATTGAATCCTTTACAGGAGGAGGTCGTTTCCTGGACGGACGAGTGTCAGAACCCTCCCAGGTGCCATAAAACCCGTTTCGGGAATAGCCTCTAAAAAGAGAGCGCCACTGCCACCAAAAGCTACAAACAGCCTGAACGTCGTCCACAACGGCAACAGGCTGATTCTGAACGCAGCAATTCTTCGACGCAGCGGACTGCCCCGCTTTGAAAGTTGTTCTTGTCGTTTGTCCTATATAACGAACACGCACAATAAAAAAATGGAGCCCAAGCCGACCAAGTCGCAAGAGGCGCAAGAGGCGCCGCAAGAAAAATCGCAAGAAACGCCGCAAGAAGTGTCGCAGGAACCGTCGCGCTGAAGCAACGGAGCAGCCTCCGGGCAGCAAGAACAAACTCAATCCGACCTGTTCCGAGCACGCCCAGGCCAAGAACAGTCCCAGACAGCGTTCCAGGCAAGCGCAGCCTTAGGCAAAGCCCGACGCAACTTGAAGCGCGCGTGCGCAACCTTGCACGCTGGAAAGGCGAAGAAAATTGCTGCTCTGATGCTGCTGCTGCCGAAGATTGTCCATCTTCAGCAGGTCTGCTCGTAGCCTACACCTGCTTGAAGTAGGGGCGCTGGTTCAATCCGTGTGACCGGAGCGTCTTCTTACAGGTTCCTGCGCGGCAACTTCGCTCTCCACCTGTTTGACGCTCCGGCGCTCGGCGTGCCGCAGCTACAAGACCTGTCGGTACGGCCTCTGTTGCCGGCCACGTTGTCCAGATGTCTCGTTTTCTCCTGAATTTGCGCTTTCCTGGCCAATAAAGACTCGAACTCCCTCCAGTTTCCAGTCGCGCTTCAGCAGCAGCGGTTGTAGGGTGTGCTGGTCTCTGTACTTTCCAAGTGACGCGGAAAAAGGTGTGGTCCTTGTCGGCAGCTTTGTTTGAGTTTTGCATGGGTTCAGTTGGGAACAGTGCAACAGACCTTTAACGTTCTGGATATTTTTCCGGTTGCTTGCCGGTAGAAAAGAAACGTTTTTTCTTGTGCAAGTTTTTGCAAGTTTTCCAGGAAATCAGGTAGTTTTGACGGCCTGCTAGTTTAGCTTTCACGCTGCACACAAGGGTCTCATGCCTCAGTTGGTTAGAGAGTACGGTGAGGGGCTCAGCCCCGCAGCATCCACCGCCGGTGGTCATTGCGTGCCCGTCATTTGCGCGCCTAGCAGTACTTGGTACCGTCTGCGAGGCAGTCCAGAAGAAGCTCGGTCACACTAACCTCAGGCACATAAGTGCTTGGTAGAGAAAAACTCTGCTCCGTCTAAATATTGATTTGGGTATCATTTCTGCAGCTCCTCTTACACTGCCAGATGCCACTGTGCGTCAGGGTCCGTTGTATTCCTTGAATGGAAACAGATGGGGCGACCCTTGTGAGTGTCGCATAACTCAACTGCTTCATGGCGCAGTGTTTCACCTCATGGGGATTGTCAATATAGGACTTTGTATTCCTAGGCGACAAATTCATATTTTGCTAGTGCGGGAGGTGATGCTTCTCGATGTTTGGCGTTTGTGGAGTTTGGTACTGCCTATGTGACCTCAAAACACCATGCTGGTGTCTTGGTTGGCATGCGCATGATTACCTTAGAGAGCTCAGATTGTGGAATTGGATGCGTGCCCACTTGAGTGGGCAAGTACGAGCACGCGCCTGGCGACCCGCGCATTCCAGGTGGCGGGTCGCCAGCGGGAGATGGAAGTGGAAGTTGACCAGGGTCTGGCTTTGGTTGTCATGGCCTTCCCAATTCGGACAAAGTGCACGTGCAATTCATGTACCGTTCCTTCATAAGCTGAATTTCCTGGCGAAATCTCCATATTTTGAATTCAAAACCGCGCCAGAAGCCTTCGTTGGCACGGATCGAGGACACCCATTCCAGACAGCGCCCTCCTCCATCCACACGCTCCGATGGCGGATTTTTGAACTTTCCATGCATATTGATGCGTGTTCCCTCTTGGTGGAACAGAATCTTCGGCAGAAATCATTCAAGGCCTGTTGAGCCGTTGTTTCCCACTTTTTCCGCCTGTAAGCCATTGACAAGCATGGGTTTGTTTTGCATGTTATCTCTTAACTGGATTTACACAAATGTGCAGGTTGCCAGCTGACTGCCATGTTGCCGCCTCAAGCCACGGGTACTTGCTGCATGGGATGTGTGTAGCATATGCTGACAGCAGTCTTCTAAGAGCAAACGTTTCAGCGAAAATTGAAGAAAGGTTGGGCATGAAGCAACAAATTCTTTCGGGGGACCAATTTGCAGCTTATGAACCCATGATGAAATTACTGTCCCGTTGTCTGAAGATTGGAGACGCCATCCATTCTATTGCCGGCACGCGGGGCGCGGCCATGGAACGGCCGAAGCAGTCACAGGAGCCGAGTAGCAAAATGCAAAACCTTAATTTCCCGTTCTGACGTGGACCCACTTTGACACCATACTGACATTTTTGCCTTGGTCGGTGTTTGGGGAGTCAAGCGCAATCTCAGATTTTGATTCTGTTGTAGAACGAGAGGCGAAGGAAGAGTCTTCTTGGCGTGGGTAAGATTCCCAAACAAGATGCTACTGTTTGTAGGACTTATGGATCGCAGAGCTTGAGTTCGGGAAACTCTGGGCTTGAAGTGCAGATCCAGATTCCTCCAACCTATGCATACCCTCCCGCAGACCAAAAAAGGCTGGTCAACTCAAGCTCCAACAAAAAACAAGAGACTTCCCTCTAATTTCTTCGTGGTGTTTTGCGTTTGGGGCAAATCTGAGGAGCAAATCTGCCACCACTTCCAAGAGCACTTGGAGAAGCTGGCGGCGGACTTTACAGAGCTGCACCGCCACGTGCTGCTCTTGACGGAGGAAAGGGGCACCCTGGAGCGAGAGGCCGGCCGAGTTGGGAGGGCCGGCAGCTCTTCCCAGGAACTCGAACTGACATGTCTTTGTTGGGTGTGGTGCCAGGTTGCGAAATGTCTTCAAATGCAAATGCACGATTGGGCAAAGTGGAACCAAAAGCCGGTGGGGAGAAGCGATGGGGGTTTAGCATGTTCAACCAGGGTGTCGATGGCTGCCCCTGAATATGATGGGCAATTCCCTTGACGGTTGGATATTCGTCTTAACAACAAGCTGACGTTGCACTTTCAGTTGAACACCAACTGAGGTGGTGGCTCGATAATCCATCTCTCCCAATTTTTACTTGTCCAGGCGCCTCAACTTGTTCAGGCGCCTCAAACAAAGGGTTCAAGCCTTAAGGGCCCCAGTTCGGGGTTTTCGATATAGGCGGCGCACCTGCGGCAGCGCCTAGCGAATTACGGTCCGCCGGGGGAGAACCAGAAGCCGATTGCGCCCCCGCTGCTGCCCATCGCGCTGAGGGAGGCCACTCCCCCCGACTGCCTGGAGAGTCAGTTCGAGGATCGAGCGGAAGCGGCAAGGGCCTAAGGGGTTCTGACCTGTCAAAGTGGCTTACGTTTAACCTAAGGAAGAACATGGCTTTTAATGGAAAAGCACAATGCTGGTTCGTTCGACAGGCAAGGAATGAGAAATGAAATGACCCCAAGCTGAAGCATCCCTAGCGCCTAGGTTCATTCCCTAAAACCCCTGTTGATTCCCTACTGAGAACCCAAGTTAACAAAAGGAAGCCGCAAGGGACTGTTGGGTCCGACACACATAACAAAGATGCAAGTTGGCCATGTGAAAATGAAGCCTTTACCACTTCCGGATTCTGCGCCGGTTTCTCCCTGGTTCTGAAAAATCCTTGAGAAATCATGGGTGTCGGTCTCTTTGGAAACTGTTTCACAATTTGTGAAGACAAGGAACTTGATTCCAACAT